TTTTATAATTATTAGATATTAAAATATTATAATTTTTCTATAATGTTTTATAGCCAATTTATACCTATGCTTTAAGGGATAAAGCACCTATATACTAATCATTCTAATATTATAATAATTTATTCAGAAATGATTTTAAATCAAAATCAGTAAAACTATAATTTTTCAGTATTTAAATTGTAAAATAAAATGATTTATCTATTATAAAGATTAAGTTTAATATTTATTGTAATTTTATTTATTACTTTTTTAATTTTATATAATCTATAAATTTATCTTTAAATCAATATTTCTTTTATAAATCTTATATAAATAATTAATAATTAGAAAAAAAATAAATAAATATAAATTGTATATATTAGATATTTACTAAATATATTTTTATGATAAATTTGAAAATTATAATTAAATAAAAATAATAGAATATATTTTACAAATATATATTGATTGCCAAAAAAATCAGAACATATAAAAATATATTATGAATTTGATTTTTATATTATTTTTATAAAATGTTTTACTTTAGTTTTTTTATGATCAAAATCTTTTATGCAAATTTTATATATATCTTTATATAATAAGCATAATCAGAAAAATATATAATTTGTAAATTGTTCATTTTATATATGTTATGCGATAAATAACAAATATAATATTGCGTCAGATGCCGACTTGCCTAAATTATAGGCCTATTTTGGGCTGATCTGATAATGCCTTAAGAAGGTTTGGCCAGCATTAGTCATCTGACGCATGTCCAGTTGACTCAAATCGACATCTGACGCAAAACTTATTATATAAATGATCAAGTACTCGTTTAACGGATAATCCATCAACTTTTTTTTAGAAATTTAGTATACAAAGAGCATGAAACTTATAATAATCCCACTTTTTTTTTTTTGGTTGAAAGCTACTATATTCTCTAAGATATCTATTAATTCACTATAATAATTGTGAATAGATTAAAACTTTAGTCAGAAACATCCCTTTGCAACCTTATTATAAATTAAAGATAATTTTTCAAGAATAAACAAACAACTTATAACCATTTGAAACAATTTTGAACAGATTTTGAATACTTTTTAACACGTCTATATAATATTTAAATCAAAAAATGTGTCCAAAACCTATCAATGATTTAGAAGTATTTCGTTCAGTATTTGATACTTTTTGCAATTTATTTATTTCTTTGTTGATATTTGATATTACAGTAATTGTTTCATTGCTTACGTCAAACACATAGGATGCTATTGTATCATGTGGTAGAAGGCCACATGATAGAGTAGTATCATAGTGCGTGTCGAAACATTATTTGCATACAGCGTCGAAATTTGTGCGCCATTCCTTGAATCCAATTTCTGCTGCGGAATGATTACCAAATTTGGATAGTAAAAATTTTTCAAGACATCATAATTATTTCACTAATATGAGGGATGATGACATAATTAAAAGATAATCCTAATATATAAAAAGCACCTTGTTCCCTTTTTGCTTTTACCGAACCTAATGAATAAACCTCAGCAAATAAATGATCCGAAATATAACCAGAGCAAAGCTTCTAATATGCAAACTCAAGTGGCAGCACGAACCAATACACAGGGACAACCCATTCAACAAATTTCTATTCAAGTTCCAGCGAACATGACTTCGGTACAGTTGGAAGTTCCAAGCGCTAATTCCGTGGCAATGCAGGCTCAAGTCGCGGCACAGCGTGAAACTTTACAAGAAATATCACAAATCACATCCACACAACCACAGACTCAGATCCTTTTCAATGCAAATCAACCAGCTGCGCCTTATATTTCAGCGCAGATTCCTACGTCTGGACTTCATGGAGTCGTCAACCCGACTAGCGACGTTGTACAAGTGAGGGTCTTTCCAGCAAGCAATGGCGCATCTGGCGGAGGAAGTGTTCCATTTAACGTTACTGGTGAACCAAAGGGCGTTGTGTTGAAAGAATATGGACCGTCTAGGATGGACACAGATTGACGAATCAAAATGTGTGGGATTATTCGATTGAATGAATGCAAAAAAAGGCAAATTGTATTTACATGCGGGATCATGTACACGAAATCCATTGAAAAAAAAAAAATTTACCAACCTTCGATATTTGTATTTAAACTTAATACGGATTAGCAGATAGTTCGCAATTTGAAAGCGAAAAAAAACAATTTTAAAAAAGAAAAAAAAGAAAGTAACTAGTATAAATAGAAAATAAAAAATAAAATAAAATTCTTGAATTTTCGTAAACCGCTTTGGTGTTAAATTATGTACATGCATCTATATATTTTTTATGTTTAATGGGTACCCAGTCCATGCTCGGGATCCATGCTTATATAAATTGTTTACAGCTGCATATATTACGCAATTGTCATTTTCGACTATTTCTGAACTTACCCTTATTTGTTTGATTTTAACCCAAAAAGTTTATCTTTATGTGCAATCAGGTTTATAATGAATAATTTAACCTATGAAAGGTTGTGTTATAATAAACTTGGTTAGACTTACAAAAAATTTTTTTTTTATAACATAATTTTGTATGGATTTTGGATCTGTGATAATGCAAAGTTAAAAAAATATTAATTGATCTGACGTTCCATCACATCGATTGTTTCCTTAGGCAAGTTCGAAAATTAATTGAGCTAGTTCGTAAAATTAGACTAACCAAAGATTGAAATAATATATTTTTTCCAAAAATAACAATTCAATTGGTGAATGAAAATATTTTTTTTATTTATCAATCAAAGATCATGTATTAGAAAGAGGTATTCACGTCATAAGTCCGAACTTTATGTACCATTACCCGGAATCAGTGAATTGATGAAAAAACTTTTCAGAGTCCCCCGATCAAGTTGGATCGCACAAAATTGGTGTTTTTGAAAAGATCGATAATCAAAGCTTTTTAGGGAATACCTCGATCCTTGTCGTGTCCGCGTATGCTTTCTTTCTATTAAAATCATATTGATTGAAAAAAAAAAATTGTTTTCGCTAACCCTTTAAAGGTCACCCGTTGATCAGTGCACAAATATTTAAAGTGATGAAATGTATCGGTAAAAGCATTTTTTTTTTTTTTTTTTTAAGATCAAAGAGAATTTTTTTTTTAATAATCAAAATCTCGTAAACTTTTTCATATCCATATATTCTTTAAACACCAAATATGCTTGCCGTTACCGATAATATCTCTCAAAAGACCCAAAGACAACCCTCCAAGGTTGTGATTACGATCGTTGGTGGTGGTAATTGCAGTCATATCATGGCCGGAATTTTCGGTTCTAACCCTAATTATGAGGTGCGACTTTTAACCCGACGTCCAAAGGAATGGAATTCTCAAATCACGGTGGAATTTAAGTTAAACAAACCCAAGGTCATTGGTAAAATTGCGAAAATTTCCTGTGATCCCTTGAAGGTGATTCCGTGATCCCAGTGGATTATCATTTCTTCCCTCATCTTGACATCTTACGTAATATCGCCTTTCGTCTCTCCCGGATCTTACCTTGGAACCGTCTTTGCTCAAGGTGGATTTCAATACAAAGTCAAACAAGCTTTCAACGAGGTTAAAAAGAATGTCAACAACGTGATCGTGTTTGGATGTCAGTACTTGCCGAACAAAGGCTTACGGAAAATGTGCCGTTCTATTAGGTCACAAGCAGTATCTTTTCGTGGCCAAGTTACCAACACAATGTCCGAACGCTTCCAAGTTTTACGTCGAAATGAAAAAGTTGTTTGCCATCCCCGTACGACCACTATCTAATTTCCTTTCGATCACCCTGACACCCTCAAATCAAATCATTCATCCGGCCAGAATGTTCGGATTGTTTGGTAAAGATTTCAATGATGATAAGGAGAACGACGTGTTATATCAACGAGAACCTTACTTTTATGGGGAACTGGATGATAGGTCGGCAGATCTCATGCAACGTCAGTCGGACGAATTGCAGGCGTTGAAAAATGAATCGCTGGCTCGTAGTCCTGATTTGGATTTAAGCAGCGTCATGGATTTAAAAGAGAGGATCGTGGAGATGTATGCAACGGAAGTTGATGACACGTCAACCCTTCGAAGCACCATCTCTACCAACGTAGGATGGACTCAACTGAAATGTCCGATGGTTCCAATCTACTCATCAGTTAAACCGGATTCATCATCACCGTCATGTCCGATCGAATCGAGAGAAAAGTCAAAGGGTGTGATCTTGAAAGGTTACAAACCTGATTTCTCGACTAGATACATGTGGGATGACATACCTTACGGTTTGGTCGTGCTCCGATCCGTTGCTAGTTTACTTAACGTGGAAGTACCATGCATCGATGAAGTCTTGTACTGGGAACAAAGCGTTATGGGTAAAGAATATTTGGTCGATGGTGAGTTGATCGGAAAAGATATTCATGAGACCGGTGCCGTCTCTAACTTTGGCATTTTATCACCCGAAGAATTGTTTGAGTGAATAATATTTTTTTTCGTAACCAGCATTTTTTTCATGTGGTATATATAGATGTGAATTTTCCGCGGAAAAAAAAAATTCATTTATATAGATATATTATATAGATACAGTATATATATATTAATACGGGTTTTCCGTAAAAAAAAAAAAAAAAAAAAAAAAAAAAAAAAAATCATATGGTTACAAAAAAGTAAAATAGTATAATCAAATATATACTTATATTATAATGTTACCAAACAAATAAATAAATAAATAAGCATCACGTCATAATACATGTGCAACGTGTTTATCATCAAAAGTTTTTTTTTGCCAGTAATTCCATTCGTCACAATGTGATATCAAATAAATAAATTCATGTATTATCACCGGAAATGTCATTCTTTTTCATTCCAAGTATAAAAAGTATGCCCAATTAAGATAAATAAAATACCCCAATCCTGAAATCTTCAATGAACTGTAAAAAAAGCTAGTTTTTTTTTTTTTTTTATCATTTTGACTACCTAATGATTAACAGAAATGCAATACTTTAAACATATTCTGCAATGTCATTACAATTATTCCATTATAGAAGTTGCATTATTCAAGATAAAATTTAGCCGAAATTTTTTCACTATCTTAGATAGGATAAACAATCAATTTTATGTAATCATCAAGTTTTATTATTTGCAATCACTATATTTGAACCAATATGGGAAGTTTTCTATTAAAATCGATGATCCGTAACGTGATTTTAATATTAATTTAATTTTTAAAATCAAACTTTTGAGGTATCTATCATGGTGGTGATCAAACCACTTCCAGCATTTAGTAATCTATATCGTTAAATAATGTTTGGGTGACGTCAAATCACCGATAACCACTTACAACCACACTATTACTTGAAGTTCAATTTATATTTAATAATTGGAGAGGGTGAATGGTAAGAGAGAATAGTTTCCGCACGTATTGTTCTTTATAAGAAATAAGATATTGTTTTGACAAATAAAAGACTTGTTAGACATTGTCTCATAATTTCATTTCCCTTAATGATGATAACCTCCCTATAGGTTACGAAGTGGATTTTCCAAATCGGAGGGCGCTCATTGTTAGATGAAATACAATAAGAATTTTAGCCAAAAAATTCTCGGAACCTGATTTTCCTATAATTAAATTATTTTCAGCTTTATCATGCCCAATATGTGGCCGTTTATAAAACTCCAATTTATTGACTGTTTCAAATCTTTATTTTAAAAATTCATAATTTTTATATAGTGCTATATCTTGCACCATAAAATTTGTGTTAATGGATGACTTTCTATTTATAGTTTTATTTGATACTTCCATATTAAGCCGGATCAATTGTAATATTTGATGATATTTTTCCAATCACAAATTATGAAAATAAAATAATATTTTTACGACTCTTTTTATAAATGATGGATTTCCACTTGATATTCCCCATAGAATCGCTGCTACTTTTTTTAGATGAACCTTATAAAAAAGCTGATATAGCTGGTTACATGAAACTAAGATTATTTAACCTTAGGAGTGAATAACATTATCATAAAAATCGATTGCAAGTTGAAGTTTGAGCTAATTCATAACGATAAATTCAAATTAGAAATTAGAAATTCATACGCTCACCTTATGAATTTTTATAATTGTGAACAGAAAGAAATATTCCCTTACTCGTAGAACTTGAATATTTGTTAACTGGGGTAAATATACAATTTCCCTCCAGTGCCAATTGATGAATGAATCTATGGATTTCCCTAAATTTTACCAGGTTATAGCACCTCTATTATTGAGATTAAAAAAATGATCGTTCAAGATTTTATAAATAATAAGAACTTTTAATTGATGAAATACATATTTATTATTAATCCAAATTTCTTTATTTATGATCTAGTGACGTATATAGTCAATAGGATTTTTTTTTACCTATTTCATGTACAATCGATTGGAAATGATCTAAAAGAAAGTAATTCAAAAAGAATACTTTTTCCTTTTATTCCTACAAAGAAATAAATGTACATTTGGGTTTCGTATGAGATTTTTTATCCAACGAAAGTAGCAAAGGTTTAAAAAATTTACATGATAATGTTAATGTTTAAATTTACAAATTTTTAAACATACACGCAAAAAATATATTTTTATATATGAACAAACAATTCAAATGAAATTTATTTGATTAACGGAGCGGATAACATCGTGAAATTTTATCCATCATCTGGGAGGAATGTCAAGACCTCGGATCTCAAAGATCATCTGGCGAAATTGCGAAAAATGTATTTTTACTCGGAGAGACTTTTGATAATTAGAATCACTTACAACTTTAATCAAGTAATACAATTAAATAATTAATTCTGTTGGAGATAATTTAGCTAATGATTTGTGGATGAAATAATAATATTATTTGAAAAAATCAAAAAACATGAATTAAAAAATTTTAAACTTATTTTTAAATTCAGTATCTAAAATTTCAAGGTGACAGTAATAATTTTTAATATTATAGATTTTGATGAACTTATATGGTAAAATTTAATCATTCGTTAACTTTAATAATCCATCATCCTTATTCTAATAATGATCAACCTAACTCGAATGGGTTTATAACGCATACATTACGGTTTATGAAAAAATATTCTCTTAAAATATATTAGAAGTAATTAATAATTATTTTAACGTAATCTCATTTGGCTTTGTAAGATACAAATCAGTTAATATACTGAATTCCTGTTGTGCCTCGGAAATATAAGCACTCCTTTCCTTTAATAAACCAAAATCATGTTCTGCCTCAGTTCTTTCTTCGTCGAAGTATAAAGAATCCTCAGCAGTATAAGAAATCCTCTCATCTAATAGACTAAAATCATGTTCTGTCTCAGATTTATTTACTTTTCGCGGTCTTTCTTCAGCAGTATAAGAAATCCTTTCATCTAATAGACCAAAATCCTGTTCTGCCTCAGATCTATTTACTTTTTGCAGTCTTTCTACGTCACGTTCAATCATGTTATTTCGTTTATTTCGTTTATTCTGACCAATTATTTTAGGTGATAAATATGATGATGATGCTATTTCTTCATTTAGAGTTGAACGATTTATATCAAGTATTTCTTCCACTTCAGCTTTAAATTGGAATCCTGCATTAATCTAATTAAAAAATTATTAAATTTAATTAAATACAAAAATAGAAATAATCAAATATATGTTTACCTTGTAACAACGCATCATATTTTTCCATTTGATCGCGCAATGATTAGCAGTACATGGATAATTATGACTTGAAAGCATAGCTGATGCGTCTTGCCAAAAATTTACTTTCATAGAGTTTCTCCGTTTTTTTAATTGTTTTACTTCTTCTTTTCGTTCGATCAAAAATAAAAGCAAAAGCTTGCAAGCATAATTATCCCACTTAACTGGTGCAAAATCTCGAGATGATTTCTTTTCTTTACGTTTGTTTTCTTTCATTTCTATTACATGAAAGAATAAAAATATTTATATATCAAATGAAAATGATCATATGGTTATCTAAATATTAAATTAAAGTTAATATCATTATCATATTCTTAAAATACCTTTAAATGAAATGATCGATATCAATCGTCTAGATATATAAATTGCATTTGGATGAGACTTCTCAGTAAATTCGGGGCCAAGTTTATTTAACAGTATTAACTCATTTCTTTTTTCTTCAGATTGATTAAAATGTTTTGAATATTTCTTATTAATATTCCAAAGAGAATAAGTTTCATAAATTTCTGTTATCGAAGGCCTTTTTACAGGATCAGAATCCAAACATCCTTTCATTAAATTAACAAAACATTCAGGAGTATCTTCTGTAATTTCAGGTCGCTTTCCATCAATAATTTTATAAATAAGTTCAAAATCGTGTTCAATATTAGCAAAAGGTCTACAGCCTGTTGTAAGTTCCCACATAATCATACCCATACTATAAATATCAGCTGCTTTTGAAAATGAAGCACCATTTAATATTTCCGGAGCAATATAAGGTATCACTCCATATATTTCGATGTTTTCGGATGGGATATTATTTGCAACTGGCGTTATTCCAAAATCTGCAATTAACCAAGTCGCATCTTGACGTTTTTTATATAATATGTTCCCACTATGAAGATCTCGATGTGTAAAATTTGCATTATGAATAGCTTTAAGGCTATGGATGAATAAATTTAAAAATTAGTATTTTGTTGATTAAATCTAATTAAAAGTATTAAAAGTATAAGTACCCTTTCGCAACCTGTAATAAAATTTCCAACTTTTCTTTCCATGTTATATTCTTAAAATTTTTTTGTAAATAATTATGCAAATTCCCCCCATTTGCATATTCCATTACTAACATGTACTCATTTGTTTCTGGATCTTTTGTAATACCATAATATCGAAGAATATTATCGGATTTAGTGTAATATTGACGATATGATTTTAACTACAATTAATTATATAATTTAATAACTTTTTAATTAAAAAATTAAACAATGATAAAACTTCCAATATCATTACCTCATTTAAAAAACGTTTACTAATATCTTGAGTAAACAATTTTACAGCAATTGTTTCATATTTTTTCCTATTACCGTAAGAACATACTGTTCCATATACTCCACCATCTAACCAAGTTGCTTGATAAATCGTACCAAATCCTCCATTCGCTACTTTTTCTAAATTTTTAATTCGAGAAAACGGTATCCATTCCATTACTGTTTCGGGATTAAAATTCCAATATGTCTTCTCTTTAAGAAAATCATAAACATTTAACGGATTATTGTCATATTTATCTATATTTGCCATATTTCTAATATCATTTATATTTCTTGTACTATAAAGAAAATAATCTATATTATTACTACCTAAATTGATATTATTCATAGTAACCGACATTATTCTTTTACATTTTCCACATTGAGACCGGTCCGTAAATCCGAAAATAATATTAGTAGTCAGACAATGTCTACATCCAACATAAACCATAAAGCAATGGGGACACCATTTTTGATTTGAACTTTCAAATACAAGTTCCATTTTACATATTGCGCACGTATCAAATGCGTCCCACCATGGTAAATAAATAACTGGAATATCCTTTTTGTTCAACGTTGATTCAATACGTCCGTAAGAGACTTGATAGCAATCCGAACATATTTTAAGTTTCTCATGTAACAAAGTTTCCTGATAAATTAATTTTCCACAAAATTTGCAATCGTTTTCGGTTTCAACCAATTTCTCTTGTACTTCAAAACTAAAATTTTCATCATAATAAGCCAAAGAATTTGTTGGTATTTGTTTGAAAAATGAAATTATTGAACACTTTTCACACCATTCTTTAATATTTCGTGTAAAAAAAAATATATTCCTGATTGCTTTATGTTCACTACATTGAGTATTAATAGTGCTTATATGTATATCTAGATAAGAAAAATTATCATTTATATTGTCAACATATTGTAACAAACACCTTCTACAATATTTTTGTTTAAATAAAAGCGTCTCCGAATATTTGGCTCCACAATTATCACAATTATTGTCATTTTGATTAAAAGAAATAAAGTCAACTGGTATTGGACTGGAATTTAATTTTTGAATTGGGCAAAAAAATTTACGATTTAATGATACTGCCATTGTGTAAGAAAGAAACGATCTGTAAGAATAAAAAAGGCTTTTTCGGGTTATATAAGGATACTTACGTAATATGAAAATGTTTTTAGACGCTCAAAATGGGAAAGTAGTACAGTATAACTTGCGCCAAATTTAGTATGCATTACGAAAAGGAGTACGTATGATCAGCATGATTACTATACCGGTATAGTATGACGACATTAGATGTTAATTGATGATCTGCCCCAAATGCAAATTTTCGATTTCGGGCAATCCAATTTGAAATTTCAAATTTGGGTAATGCGATTTTGCTGCCCCAATTTAAAATTAGGGTAAATTGAAAATTGAGACGTAATGTGATCCCAAGTTGACTAATGCCCCAATTTAAAATTGGAGCAAATTAGAAACTGGGAACGCAATGGAATTGGAAACTGGAAACGCAGTACCCCAAGTTGACTATTGCTCTAATTTAAAATTGGAGCAAATTTGAAACTGGGAAAGTAATACACAAGTTGACTATTGTCTCAATTTAAAATGGGATAAATTGGCTATTGTCCAAATTTAAAATTGAGATGAAATGTGATGTTTTAAGTTAATTTTTCTCTAATTTAATCTTTTATAATTTAAATTTTAAAATTATAAAATCAAATATTATTTTTTTTAGTTAAAAAATTCCAATAAATTTAAATTTAAATTAAAAATAGTGAAATTTATTTTTAAAACATTTGATTATTTACTATAACTATTTATATAATATTATTTGCTTTATAAATTCAAAATATTGTTAAATTTACTAAATAATTAACATAATTATATGGCTATATATAATTATTACACTTTTCCGTGAAGTAATTCATCACAAAATGAGTTTATTTAAGCTTTGACCATGATATTACAATATAAATTATTACTTATATAAAAATACATTAAAAAAAGTTTAATATTATATATACTTAATTAAATTCTATTTATTATTAATATTAAATATAAAAGAATAATTATTAAATGTATTTTCTTTAAAAATACGTTGAAAGTAAGAGATCAGTTGTCATTAATTGACTCTCAATTAAATTCTTTTATGCAGATCGTTTTGCAATTCTAAATGTATAAATGTTAGTTTCTTTATAAAAATATGTAACAATAAAATAAATAAAAAACCTTGATTATATGCATTAAAGATCAATTTCATTTTCAATTACTTCAATTTTTCTATTTAAATTTATATAATATCATTTTAACTGTATAATCCAATTATTAGTTGATTTATCAATTGAATATAATTAATAATTACTTATATATCATTTCACTAGGTTCATTATATTTAAAGTTGGCTAAATAATAAAATAATGTTTTATTATAAAAAAAAGTTTTAAAAGGTTTTTATTTTGATTTTGACATAATAAGATTAAATAATATAAAATGAGAAAAAAAGAATAATATTTAAAATAATTTTTTATAATAATCAGGAGACAAAATAATTATATTATAACTTTACAGATAATCGCTAATAACTCTATTGATTAGTGGATTTTACCACTTTATATTAAAATATTCAATTAATATATTACTTACAGTGAACTATGTAGTAATCTCTGATAACCTATGAAGTTACTATCAATAATATTTTATGCAAATTTGCTATTTATTTAATATATAAAAGCCATTTTTGAAATTTAATTATTATTCATTTTCTTTTACTATTATAAAGAATAAATTTTGGGATTTTAACATTTTTTACCAGAATAACATTTGTTATTATAAGCTAAATTTTCTTTTTTACAAAAACATATCATTGTATTACAATTATTATTAAGACATTTGCATTTAATTACCTTCCTATTTAACATATTATTTTGTAATCTAACTACTTCTATAACTGTTATTTTTTTATCTAATATATCTATTAATTCAATTATTAATTCTAATTTAGTAGATTATAAATTTTTTCTTGATAATTTATATTTAATTTTCCTTTAAAGCATTTCAATTCATAAAAACCTTCAGATTTAACCTTTAAAACCTTGCATGATAAATAATTATATTCTAATTTTACTTAATTTACTTTTAAAATTTTTAAATTAATAATATCATTAATTTTATATAGTCCCTTTTTTTTATTTTTTTCTCTCATCAAATTTTTCATATTTTTTTTTATATTGTTAATTATTAATTATTATATTATTATATATTTGATCATAAGGAGAAGAAAATTCATCATTATTAAATAAATTAATAAATTTATTATCAAATAATAAATTATTTTCATTATCAGATATTGATTCAATTTTATTATTTGATATAAATTTTAAAAAACTAATCTAAAATATTAATTAATTTATGTTATAAAAAAAATTATAGTAAATTAAGTTATTAATTAAACTTACTTGTAAATTATCATTTTGATTTATTTGTTCTAATATATTAAGAAATTTTGATTCTCAGATATTTAATAAAATATCATTAAATTATTTTATAATACGTATTTTTTTTATGAAACTATTTAAATTTCTTTTTTAAGTATATCTGATTTTAAGTTTTTACTATGTCTAAATAAACCTTCTTATGATGAATTGATTTTTTTCCAAGAAATATGTTTAACACTAGTCGAAATAGTC